TTTCATTTAATTCACAAGCATTTGTTAGAAGCCCACTGTGTCAGCCACTGTGTTCTCCTCAGAGTAGACTCTCCATGTCAGAAGCATACACATGTATACACAGGCACCTACACAGGCCAGCCCCGCCTCCTAGGCCATGATGACCCGGGCATCATTCACCCAGTCACCCTCAGGCACATTCTTGCCCCTGCCTGTGCAACCCCCAGCCACGAAGGGTGCTGGCGGTGTTGGGTGGGGGGGAGAGCTTGAGCAGGAGAGTGGAAATGAAGGGAGGGGCAGAGAGAGGGTGAGGCAGAGCCTGGGGAAGCCCCGAAGTGACTCCGTTCAGTGACTCTGTTCAAAGGCATGCCAAGGGCCAGGACTCTTCATTTCCGTTCTCTACTGGATTGACACAAGCCTAGGCCTTTTCTGTGTCTTTGTTACTCTTCTAACAACCATAGCATCATAGAGCATTGGTTCATAGAAGTAGGGCTGGAAGGGACTTTTGTGGCCATTAAGTCCAAACCTCTCGTCTTCTAGGTAAACTGGGGCACAGAAAAGTCAAATGACTTGCCCAAGGTCACTCAGCTAGTAAGAGTCTGAAACAGAATATGAACTCATGCCTTCCTGACTCAAAGGCCAAGACCCTATCCACTTTTGCCTCCCGTCCAGAGGCGGACAACATCCAGAGGGGATTCACAGGGAAAGGGGACAGTTTGTCATCCTTTGGATCTCAGGTTGGCCGAAAGGGCCAGACTCCCTCTGTCAAAGGCCATTTTCTTCATTCTGGCATCCAACTATCAGAGACGGCCCATGTGCTGGTATTCCTTCTCACCCTTAGTCCAGACACTGAATTCCTAGGAAGAGATTACTTGGGGTGGGGCAGGAAATGGGGGAGAGGCACATCGCCTTGATTCTAATTCTGACAACCCAGACTCTGCTCTCTGGATCTGAGTCTCAATCCAGGAGTCTGAGAGCCTGAAAGTGAGAGGTAGAACAGCAGAAGCAGAAGCGAGAGTGCTTTGGCTGAAGCCACACACATGAAGAAAGTAACATGAGTGCACATTCATACACGTACACACCCTGGGGCTAGAGCCAGGCCGGGGAATAAAGCAAGGTTTCCTAGCGTATAGGGTTTGGGTCTGCTTTACTATACTCTGCAGTGAACAGAGCTGAAAGGGACCTCAAAGGCCATCTACTCTCATCCCTTCATTTTAGAGCTAAGATAATTGAGACCTAGAGATGTTAAGTGACTTACTCAATGTCATACAGATAGTAAATAGCAGAGCTGGATTTGAACCCAGGTCCTCAAACTCCAAATCCAGCCCCCATTCCACTGCACCAGGAATTCTGTAAGGATTTGGTGACTTGAACTGGGCTGGGCTGGCTGGAGATGGAAAGAGTCAGTCTCAGGACCATCCTCTGGTCTCAGTCTTCCCCGAGGGACCCCAATGGGCAGGCCCTAGGACAGAAGGAACTCCAAGGAACGCAGAGCTCTGGGGGCAAGTTTAATCCCTCAATTTAAAGGGATTCCATATCCTCGGCCCCTCCCCCAAACCTTCAGCTGCTTGTTGAGGTCCACCTTCCACCCCCTAAGCCTCCCCCCCTCCACACACACATTCCAGGCTGTTGCCTAGAGCCATCAGAGCTAAGAACTCAGGGGTAGGGCAGGAAAGGGAGCAACCTGGGATTAGCCACCCAAGGGGGGTGGGGAGGCAGGGAGGGAAGAAGGGAGAACAGAGCTTCCTGACCAGCTCCTGGGATTAGGATGAGTAAACTGGAGCCTTGGAGGTGAATCAGGGCCTCCTCATGGTCCCCATAGGCAGCCAGAGGAGGCTTCCTCGGGTAGGGCAAATCCAATTTGTCCCCTCTACCCACCCCAGGCTAAACTCTGCTCTTCATTCCCAGGCCAAAAGTATTACCGAGGCCAAATCCCTCCCAGTCCTCAATTTCCTCCTCTGCAAAGGGAAGGGGCTAGACTTAATGGTCACCAGGATTTTTTCCATCTCTGACATGCATCACTGTCAGAGTGATTCCATCTAGAATTCCATCCATGGAGTCCCTCTAGGACAAGTCCCCCCAGAGAGATGGACACACAATATCTGAGCTACCTCCATGCCCACTGCTAGCACCTTTCTATGGGCTGAGAGACAAAAGCTGACCCCCAGAAGTCATTCACTGGGGGAGTGAGTCTCCACTATTTCTTCAGATTTCTAAGGTCCCTCAAACTTGAAGACCAGTCAAATCTAGCTCTTGAGCATCACAGACCATTCAGTCAGTCTTCCCACCCAACCCCAACTCCTAGCTAAGCCTCATTTAGCAGGGAGACCAAGTTGGGCTAGGGGAACTATGGCATAGGAGGAGGCTAGCCCCTTAACTACAGAAGGCTGGGGGTCTCATTCACAGAAAGGCCCCACCACCTGCTGGAGGGATTGTTTTGCAAAGACAGCTCTGGCCTGAGGGGAAGACGGTGAAGCTGAGAGGAGAAACTGGAAATGTCACTCACTCTCCAGAGGAATGGGGCTGGGCAGGGGCCCAGAATGTCACTGTGGCTCCAGATAGGAGGCTGGGACTGGGGAGCGGGCAGGGTCCTTTCAAAGGGACACTGATCCCAACAGCCAGCTGCCTGATCTCCCTCACAGTACAGCCCCCACATCAGACTTTGAAGCTGAGGCCAGGACTAAAAGGGATAGGAGGCCTCCCCTTAGTCAAGATGGGGAAGAAGACAGAGAGAGAAGAGACCCTAGTATCTGAGGCACCCATTTGATACAGAGAATGTAAATCTTGCCTCCCTACAGGTCTCTCTGGAGAAGATTGAGAGGGCCATTGATTAAATTACAAGGTCCCTTCCAGGATGATTCTGTGATCACAGACAAGCTAGACAGAGATTCCAGGCCCTTGAACTGGGAAGGGGCCATTTGTATTCTTTGGGTACCCAGCCAAAGCCTTCTGAGCCCATGAAGTGATACTGATGCATTTTATCCATTGCTCAGCCGGGGAAGGCTGAGTCCCCAGGAGGGAGATGGAAAAATGCCCTGGGGGAATTCTAGCCCCTTGGGTCTCTAGCTGAAGAACTAGGGTGTGGGGGCAGGAAGAAGGGAACTCCCAGACTTCTAATTCCACCTTCCACTTGTCTCATTACTCAAAACCTTAATTTTCCCCATCTGAGCAATGGGGTCAATGCAGTTTCCCAGCTCTGAGCGCTCTGGCTGGGATCCTGTAGTGGACAGAGATCATGTCCCACTCTGACCCTGAACTCCCAATACCTCTTTCACAAGCCAGAGCCGCTACGCAAAAAGCAGAAAGCCTTCACTGTGAAATCCTGGGCTACCTGAAGGAAGGGGAGAACAGCTTTTGGAGAGAATATATTTGTAATACATAGATGTATACATATATATGCACATGTGTGCATGTGTAAATATATGCATATATATGTATATGTACATAGAACACCAGATGGGGTTGTAAATATGTATGGTTGTGCATGTATACACGTGCATATATATACATATGCATGTGTGCATTGGTGTATATGTGAATATACACACATGTACATGCATGTGTGTATACACACATGTACAAACACACAACAGGAAATTCCAACCCCTTCCAGCCTCCACTCCCCTTCTCGGACAGCCAGAAGGAAGGGGTGGCTCAGCAGGCAAGTCCAGCGGGTAACCCAGCCAAACGGCCAGCCCCAAGAGGCAGGGGAGGGAACTGTCCCCACCCATGTCTGCTCCGGTCTAGTAGGCGCCCAGCCCAGGACAGCCTCACAAACCTTCCCACACTGGGAGCCACAGCTCTAAGCAGATTTTGGTCAGTGTGCCAGGCCACCTGTCCCAGCCCACCTAGCCTTTCGTTACAGCTTCCACCCAGACTCAGGTGAAGGTGACCCACCTAGCTCTAGGTCCTAGGTCATCTAGAGCTCTTAATGGGGTTTTCAGCAACTATGCCTGGGGTGGGGGGAGGTATAGGGGGGTGTCTTCCCTCCCACTCAGCCTGGGGCGCCAGGGACTGGCTGGCGGGGGGGATGGGGAAGCAAGGCAAGGTCAGTGGTGGGGTTCCCCTCAAGGATGTCTCACAGGATGCAAATAGACTTGGCCATGGGTAGGGCACATGAGACGGGCCACCCCGGATCACCAATCCGCATTCCTGGAGCAGCTGCTCTCTGTGAACAGACCTGGGGTATAATACAGCTCTTCCCTGCCCCTCCCACCTTCCATGGTCCCCAGGGCTGAGCCAGGGCTGGGGTTGGGGAGGAGAGGGGGGCGCTGGCCTTTGAGTCCCAAGATTGGCTGGCCAGATTGAGCCATTATCCTGCCGGAGCTCTTAGAGGACAAGTACGGTCGGGGGCCAGGGGCTGGGGGCTGTCGAGGCTGCAAGGGAGAACCCCAACAGAGCCCTGAAGCCCAGAATCCTAAACCCCTTTCCGCAACACCCCGCCGGTGTCGCGGGACTGAGCCACTGAAAACCCTCAATAAATAAGAATCCTGGCAGGGCACTTGGAGATTTCTTAAATCTAGCCTCCTCCTTTCCTGCTAACCTCATTTTACAGAGGGGGAAACTGAGACTCCAAGAAGAGGGGCGATTTGCCCAAGGTCACACAGGGAGTTCTCCTTGGGGGTACCGGAGACAGGGCGGGATGTGCCGCTGCGCACCGTTTCTCCCAGTCCAGAGGCTCAGCCAGGCACACTCACCATGTTGGCGCTGGCTCTCGTTCCTTGCCAGCCTACCGGGTCCTGGGTCTGGGACCGGGCTTCGAGGTTTCAGCTCTCCGATGGCACAGCAGCCTCTTCCCTCTCTGAGATTCGAACCCTCTTTGCTCCAGGCTCCTGGCTCTAGAAGGCACTGAAACCCCAGCCACCGGCTCTGCCGCAGGGACACAGAGAAAACACGGTCCGGTTCAGGAACCGGAGCCAGAGCCGGCGATCCGGAGTAGTTCGCTCCGTTCCCAGAGGCAGAGGGAAAACCCGGCCTGACTCAGTCCCAGAATTTGAGACCTGGACGGGTCCTAGAATAGTCAAACAGCCAGCCTCTCCGGCAAAGCAAGAATGGAGTAAGCGAAGTCCAGCAGCACCACCTCCCTCCTTGTCCGGAAACTGTGGGCCAAGGTATCCCCCGCCTCCCACTCTCCTAGCAGAGGCAGATTCTTAGAACCATCTCTCTCACCCCTCCTCTTTGGAATATACTAATTCCAGCGAGGCTCTTGCCCCATCCTGCTGCCCCCTTGGCGCGCCCTAGGCACACCCCTTCTTCTGACCCAGCTGCAGGAGGTGGGTGGGACAGAGCCCATGCTTGGGAGCTGTGAATTTCTGAGTTGTATGCCTGGCTCCTGGCAGAACCGGCTATTAAAAGTAAAGTGCTTCTTAGCCTACCTCTTTATTATTTCTTCTTCCCTCTTCCACCCAGTAATACTGCATATAAAACAAAGATAATTTTCTTTGAGATTCTGAAAACCCTACAGGCATACATGCTTAAAAAAATACACAAGTCTCACACCCATACATAAATGTACATGAATATGTATGTCTGTATACATGTATATATATATACGTATATATATATATATACATATATATATATATATATACATATATATATATATATATAATATATAATATATATATATATATATGCCTTTGGCATCTGCTTTGTTGGAGAGATCTCAGCCATTTGAGCATTTGCTTGTCCTGGACTGGTGATATTCTTGGGACAGAGAACTTCACATGAGTAAATGCCTTCTACCAATGCAGATTCTTCAGATTCTCTGCTCCGAGAAAGTCTAAGGCATTAAGACGTTGATTTGCCTCAGGTCACAGACTCACAGTTAGCATGGGTCAGAGAAGGGATTTGAACCTAAGTTTTCCTGACTCAGAGGTTGGCAGTCCATTTAATAATACATTACATTTTAATAGTATTTTAAGGATTACAAATGCTTTCTTACAATAACGTTGTTAGGTAGCTAGTACTAATATTCCTCTCTTCACTCTAGAGGTGAAAAACAAAACAAAACCTGAGTGTCACAGGGATTGTGTCTTACCTATATTTACTTGATGAGCAGATGTCAGAACTGGAACTCCAAACTGGTTCTCCGAGGCCAGTGAATACTTTCCCAAATATACTCACTTGTACATGGAGTCAGGAAGCTAGGTGGTACAATGGATAGAACACTGGACCTCAAGTCTCAGGAAGACCTGAGTTCAAATGTCACTTCATACATATACTTGCTAGAGGTAGAATGTGTTATATGTATGAGGAATTGCAAGGCAGACAGTATTGCTTGACTGTAGAATACCTGGAAGTAAATAAATCATGAGACGATTGTAATGTTAGGAAGGAGCCAGGCTTTAGAGGGCTTTAAAAGCCAAACAGGTTTTTAGATTTGATCTTGGAGGTAATGGGGAGCTACTGGGAGTTTTGTTGCGTAGGGAGTTGACGTCATCAGACCTGCACTTTAAGATCCCTCTGACAATTGAGCAGAGGATGTGATAGAGTGGAGAAAGACTAGAGGCAGGGAAACCAACCAGACAGCTATTGCTGTAGTCCAGGTGACGAGAACCTGTACCAGGGCGGTGATGGGAAAGGAGGGAACCAGAGATGCTGTGGAGATAGGAATGAAAATACTAGGGAAGTTCAGAAGAAGGGAGGACAGGGAAGTGTCATGGAGGGAAATGATGAATTCAGGTTTGGATGGACTGAATTTCAGATGTCCATGGGACGTCCAGTTTGAGATGGTCAATAGGTAGTTAATGGTAGAAGTCAAGAAAGAGGTTAGGGCTGGATAAGAGGTCCGGGATAATTGAGGTCCAGCATCATCATCACCCTCCTTGTGGGGAAGCTATGAACCAGAGTATCCCCCACCTCCCACTCTCTGAGTTCTAGAACCATAGATCCGAGGTCCGATCTGAGTAGAATAGATCTGAGAATCATCTCCATAGAGGTGATAATTGAACCCAGGGGAGCTGATGAGATGACCAAGCAAGGTAGTTTAGAGGGAAAAGAAAAGAAGGCCAAGGCCAGAAAACCTACAGTTAGCCATTTCGACCTGGATGAAGATCCAGGAAAGATGACTGAGACAGGTAGGAGGAGAAGCAGGAGGGAGAAGTGGCAAGAAAACTAGAGAGAAGGGAGTATCTAGAAGAGAGCACTTGATGGTTTCTAAGTCCGCAGAGAAGTCAAGAAGGGTGAAAAGTGAGAAAAGACGACTGGATCTGGCGACTAGGAGATTGTTGGTAAATTTGGAGAAAGTCTTTTTGGTTGGGTAGTTGAAGTCAGAAGCAGATTTCCGAGGGCTGGCAAGTGAAAGACTAGGAAGCAGAGGCACCCCATGTGGATGGACTTTCAAACAGATTAACCACAAAGAGGAGAGAGGTGGGTGGGATGGGAGGGAGGAGAAGGGAATAAAGCATTTATATTTCACCTAGAGGTGGGGAACCTGCAGCCTCGAGGCCTCGTGTGGCCCTCTAGGTCCTTGGGTGCAGCCCTTTGACTGGAATTCAAACGTGACAGACCTAGAGGGCCACATGTGACCTCGAGGCCGAAGGTTCCTCACCAGAGTCCTGGTGCATGCCAGGCACTCTGCTAAGCGCTTTACAAGCATTATCTCCTTTGATCTTCACAAGCCAGCAAGGTAGGCCTCTGGATCCCCTCTCTGAGTGAAATGAGGATAATAACAGCACCTGCCACAAAAGGTTGAGGAAACTGAGGTTAAGTTATTTGTCCAGGGTCACGCAGATAGCAAGTATCTGAGACCAGATCTGGACTCAGGTCTTCTTGACATGAGGCCCGGCGCTCTGTCCGCTTCACCGCCTATCTGCCTCGAGTTTGGTGGTGTTTTTGTTCGTTTGTTTGATGTTGTTTTTTAAAGATGGAGGAGACATGGCTGCGTTCGTAGGCAGCGGAGAAACAACCAGTAGACAGGGAGAGATTGAAGATCAGTGAGAGAGTGAAGGAACAGTCTCCTGGAGAAGAGAAGATAAAATGGGACTAAGAATGTGTGTAGAAGTCTTTGCCTTGGCAAGGAGAAGGGCCACCTCTCCATGTGAGACCAGTGAAAGAGGAGATAGTGGAGAAAGATATTTGAGGGAGGAGGAGGAGGGAAGAGGGGGAGCTCTCAGCAAATGATTTCAAATTTTTTGGTGAAATATTCGACATAGTCCTCAACTGAGATGATGGTGGGAGCGACGCTTAGGAAGGGATACAAAAGATTGGCCACTGTGGTGAATGGGAGAGTGAATCAATTAGAGAGGTATCAAAGGACTGGGTTGCCACAATGAGGGCCCAGTTGAAATTAGTAATATAAATTTGTAGTGTTCCCAGTCAGCATGATTTCATTCTTTTCTCCAGTTTTGTTCAGCAACACGTGAAAAGGAATGAAGGCAGGTTGCGGTTGGAGTAACCCTAGGTTTGGACTTGGCAAGGCTTTATTAATGAAAGGATAAATAAAGGGGCGTAAAGCTGAACCAGTTCACCATCGTGAAGGGAGGGAAGGAAAGAGAATACAGCCAGTGCAGGAGTAATGGCCTGGGAAATATCTGAGAGGTGGAAGGATTGGGGATCACAGTGAGGGTGAAAAACAGGGTTAGGGGTTATGAGGCAGAGGAAGAATATAGAATAATAAAAAATATGATCAGTCCAACATACCTTGGGGGACCAGAGACAGCTACACGTCAGAGGTAGCCTTGCAATTGGAGGTAGAAAACATTCCGAGCAGAATGAACAAGATGAGCAAGAGACAGAAGCAGGAAAAGGAGAAGCCTGTTCAGATAAAGTTAGAACTAGCACAGGGCAACCAGGGCTTTGTCCCTGGTCCTGACATCCAAGGGTGGCATAATTTCTACCCTCTTCAGGGAGAATACCTGTCATTTAACTAGCCCCAGGCTACCATCTCTCAGGGTCCCATGTTGGTCACTGCCCTCTGTCAAGACTGACTTTCCGCTGCAGTGGACTGCAATTATTGATGCTACCTGGCCTGGGGATCTGTGCCATATTGGGAAGCACAGAAAGAGTATTCCCCTCCTCTAAAGTAAACTGTCGGAGGTAAGGGATCGTGCCTTATAGCTCTTTCTTGGACTGGCATCAAACGCAGTGTCTCACACAAAGTAAACACTCAGTAAATATTTGTCAATGATTGATAAAAGTTGATAGGTTTCCTGTCCAACAAATAATGTCAGCAGAGAAGTGGGCTCCAGCTCAGAGTGAGGGGCTGCAGAAGACCATTCTAATTCGAACCTTGGAGTAGACTGAACTTCTCTGTCCTGGGCATGCCCCAAGCGCTATCAAATTGCTGCCTCTGGGGACTCCCCTTCCACCCATCCCTGTGATTCAGAACCACTCTCTGCCTAAGAGAAAAACTCCTTCCTCTGTCCCCTTCCCCACACTCTCATCCTTCTCCAGACCAGCCTTATCTCCCCCAAGCCTGATTGTCCCCTGTCCCACCGTTCCACTGAGGTGTCTGGAACCTTCCTTATCGGTAATAAACTCCTAGCCACCTTGTTTTCTTCCTCACACATTTGATTCATCTCTGGAGCTCATTGAAAGCACATCTTTCCCCTGAAGACATCACATCTCTTGGCATCCTCTCCAAGGCGGGCTGCTCCCTCTCTCACGATGACAATCCCTCTCTCCCCTTTCAATCAGGACCATAAGGAAGTGTTGGCATTCTTCTTGTACGTCACAATCCCTTTCAGACCCTCCTTCTGTCCCATCTCTCAGCATCACCTCTCCTCCCTGGACAGTTCACTCCAGTCTGGCCAGATCCTTGCTGATGTCCTCAGGGGATCTCCAGGTCAATCTCCTTCCCCCTCATTAAGTTAATTTGTTTCCACCCTAACCCTGCCCTCTCTAAATACCTTGACCTCTCAGTTCCATAACCTCTTCAATTCTTTTTACCTTTGTCTCCAGTCTACCATGACCACTCGTAGAAGCACTCATCTTCCTCAGCCTGTTCCCTCCTCAATCATCCTCCTCAACCAAAGTTGCCATTCCAAGTTATGGGTCCCATGCTCAGATAATGGTGAGTAATGAAGTTTGGCTGGGGTGTTTGGGTTTATAGGGCATATGAAAGGGAGCACTGGAAAACAAGGCTGGAAAGGGAAATCGGTTCCAGATTATGGAAGGTCTTGAATGCCAGGCTATGGACTTTGGATTTCATCCTGTAGGCAATGAGAGAATTAAGAAGAAGGTGAAAGGGGAGTGAGCAGGAGAGTGCCAAGACCCAGTATCTAGCATGTTGTTTTTCTTATTGTTTGGACCAGACCTGTGATTTCATTAATGAAAGGAACTCCTTTTACCAAGGCAGCTGGGTATCTGCTCTGCAACTTATTGCTTTAGAGTCGTTTGAGGGCATTGAGAGGTACATGGGGTTATACATTTAGAGTTGGAAGGGACCTTAGAAGGCATTGAGTTCAGCCCCCTCATTTTACAGATGGGGAACCGAGGCCCAGGGTCTTGCCTGGGGTCATAGCCATTACATATCAGAGCAGGGTCTTGAGCTCAGGTCTTCCTAACTTTGAGGCCAGCTCCCCATCCTGGTGGCCATGATGCCTCTCCCATAACAGGTGCTTAAAAAGCATGTTGAATGGAATGGAATCGGTTAGATCTGTGCCTTCTGAAGATGAACCCAGAAATGTGTGGGATGGATTGGAAAGGAAGAGACCAAAGGCAGGAAAACTGGTTAAGATACTGTTGCAATAGTGCAGGTAAGAGGCCATGGGAACCTGTTTTAGGGTGATCACCAAGGAAATAGAAAGGAGGGAATAGCTAGACTAGATATTTGGAAGGCTAGCATGATGGAAGGGCACTGTATTTGGAGTCAGAAAGCCAGCATTAGAATTACTATCTGTATGACCTTAAATAAGTCACTTCTACTGTTTGAGCCTCAGTTTCCCCAATAATACAATGAGAGAGCTGGTCTAGATGATCTGTAAGGCTCCTTTTAGGGGCAGCTAGGTGGTATGATAGAGAGAGCACTGGGCCTGGTGTCAGGAAGACCTGAGTTCAAATCCAGCCTCAGATACTTAATAGCTGTGTAACCCTGGGCAGGTCACTTGACTTCTTTCTGCCTTAGTTACCTCAACTGTAAAATGGGGATAATAATGGCACCTACCTCCCAGGGCAGTTATAAGAATTGAGAAAATATTTGTAAAGCTCTAGTGCACTACCTGGCACTTAATAAATGCCTGTTTCCTTCTTTACCTGCTTTCTTCCTACTAAAAATTATTAGATTTTGGGAAGAATTGAATTGGCAGGACTCTCAACTGTGTGAATGTGGGGGGACATGGAATGGAGAGAAGTCAGAAAGGACTTCAGGTATGGACTACAGGACCACAAAGCCTCCTGGAGAAGGGAAGGAAGGATATATCAGGAAACTCAGGACATTAGACAGAGAGGAAGCACTCTAGAGGTTAGGGCAGGAAAAAAAAAACTGAGGTAAATATCATAAGATTCCCCCTCCTCAGGCCGTATTTTGCTCTGGCCAGGTGGGCCAGAGGCTTGAGCAGTAAAGAAGACTACATTATCACCTGAAATAGTGACTCAACTCTGAGTCCCATGGTATTGGGTGGGGAGGGGGCACCAGAGACTGAGAGAGGTCAAAGGACAGCTAAGGTCTCACCAGAAGGCAATCTGTACAGCCTCATGTGGCTTTGCACCTTTCCTTTTTTCTGTCCTTATCTCTGTCACTACCTCTGTCGTGTAGGCTCCTAGGACTCAGAACTAGAAGAGACCCTAGAGGTCATTGAATCTATCTGCCTCCTTTTGTAGATGAAGACATCGAGAAGTAGAAATGTTAAGTGACTTGTCCAAAGGCACACAAGAAATAGAGACAGATTTGAACCCAGGACCTCTGATTCCAGATCCAGTCAGTGCTTCTGAACTCTTCCTGACTTAGTTAATTTATTCCAGAGACAGAAGTCTGAGGAATGCCATTATGTAATCCTTGCCATGATCAGTCCAGGGTCTAGAAGACCCTCACAGACAAGCTTTAATCCTGAGGTAATGCTCTGAAAATCAGTAGGTCCTCCCAGCCCCAATATTCTAAAAAATAGAGAGAGAAAGGGTAGAGACCATGACCTCGATTTTACAGGAGGGAGAGAAAGTGAGGCCCAGAGAGGAACAACAATGGGCCAAGGAACTTGGCAGGACAAAATCAGGGGAAGAAATGCACCTCGGGGCCTTCTAACTCCTGGCTCAGTGCTTTGTCTGCCCCCACAATGGATCGCCCTCTCTGTCTCAGGGAGAGCTTTTACCTCCCTGGGTAAGAGAGCCAAAACACAGGCTGCCAACTGACAGCAAAGTTGAGGAAGGGAACCTTGTGGGAAAGCTGTACCCACTGGTACTAGAAACCACCAGAAGCAGCCTCCCTATAAATCAAGCCAAGACAACATCCAGATATTATGCTTGCCCGGAGTAGAGGAAGGCAGGGTAGAAAGAGAAAATGAATGGTGTCCATTTGCCCTGTCTGGACCTGTCTGATTTTTCATCAAGCCTGTGAATGACCCACTAGCTTTTCGAGGGCCTTGTGATGAAGGAACATGGCTAGCTATGTGCAGGGAGTGGTAGGATGGAAGGAGAGGCAACATTACTCCAATTTTCTCTGCGGTACCCCCATCCTCACCATCCCACCCCTGGAAAAGCCAGCCAATATTCTTCTGGTCCCATGGACAGTCAGATGCAGCCTTCAGAGAATTCAGAAACCACTGTACCCAGACCACCTTGCCCAACTAGGTCCTGAGAAAGGGAGAGACCTTGTTATCTCTTTTTTTCTTTTTTTAGGCAACTGGGGTTAAGTGACTTGCCCAGGGTCACACAGGTACTGTCAAGTGTTTGGTCTGAGGCCCGATTTGAACTCAGGTACTCCTGACTCCAATGCTAGTGTTCTATCCACTGCACCACCTAGCTGCCCTCCGAGACCTTGTTATTTTTGACATACCAATCCCCCATCTTCATGAACTGGCTCATAGTTTTCTCACAACTTGGAATTCCTCTGTATCTTGCTTCAATATCTATTCAAAGATACTCATCTACTCTTCCTTCAAGACTCAACCAAACCTCTGCCTCAAAGAACTAGGGGTTCTCAGGGCTGAAAAGTGATCTTGGGGATTATCTAGTCTAACTTCCTAAGTTTATAGATGAGAAGACTGAGACCCAGAGTGGGTATCTGTCTCTGTCTCTCCTTCTGTCTCTATCTCTTCCTTTCTCTCTTCCCCCCTTACTTCTTCCCCTTCCTCCCTGCCTCTCCCTCTCCCTGTCTCTTCCCCCCTTCCCCTCTCTTCCTCTTCTCTCCCTCTCCCCTCTTCCCCTTCTCCATCTCTCCCTTTCTTCCTGCTCCCCCTTCTTCCTCTTGCCCTCTTTTTACCTTCCCACTCTTCCCCCTTCCTCTCTTCCTCCTTCTTCCTTTCCCCCTTTGTCTCTCTCTCACTCTCTTTACCTCTTCTTCTCTGTCTCCCCCCTACCCAACTGCTAGCCCTGCTTGGAATCAGAGTTACATGGAAATCAGAGCATCTCAGAATGAACACTTGGATGGCTGAGGCCCCACTATCCCTACAGGGAAGCAAGGGGCAAGATGGTGTAATGTGTGTGGGCCAAGAACTCTGGGATTGCTGCCCATCCCATAAGGAAGGAGGGGGGGATTGAGAGATACTGTTCTGTATTAGCCAAGAACCTCCCTCACCTCTGCCAACCCCAAAGAGCCTGTCAATCAGTTCTAGCTAGGGCTCTCTTACCTCTAGACCTTTGCATCATCTGGAAGCAGTCAGAATTAAAAGGCAAGTGCTACTTATTTATTACTAAATAGTGGCTGATTGGACCACTACATTTAAAGAGAGTGAATTGATAAGCCAATGTCACCCTAGAGGATGTCCCTAGCCTTAATTCTATTCAATGTATATCATAGGATTTACAGTTGGAAGGAGTTTTAGTGGGCATCTGGTCCAACTCTTTCATTACACAAAGGAGGGAAGAGTGGACCATAGAAGTTATGTGACTTGACCAAGGTCATGCAAAATAAGGAACAGAGCCAGAATTTGAATGTAGGCTCTCTGACTTGAAATATAGGGCTCTATCCAATTTCAATACTTAAAAATTGGAAAAACTTCTTAGTCTAGCATTCAAGTGTCCACAACCTAGCTCTATAAACTCCTTTTTCAGATTTATGACTTTACTCAACATGAAACCCAAACTTCAGTAACCTTGGACTGCTCACTGAACTCTGCCCCATCCCCCACCCCTGCCTCTATGCCTCTGTTTATCATGATCCCCAACACAGAAACACTCTCCTCCCATCTCTACTTTTTGAAATCCTACCTTTCTTTCAAGGCCCAGCTCAGATGTCACCTCTTCCCTGAGGCCAAGGCCTTCACTAATCCAAGTTCCCACACAAGACAGAATGGATCTATCCTTCCATCCTTTGTATTTTTGTGGATCTTCCTATATTATATTCTGCTTTGTGCTGTATCTTTTCTCCCCTACTAAGGAAGGAAGAAACAAACATTTATTAAGTGTCTACTATATTCCAAGCATTGTGCTTCACAAATATTATCTAATATGATCTCACAACAACCCTGGGAGGTGGGTGCTAATATTATCCTCATTTTGAAATTGAGGAAACTGAGTCAAGATAGGTTAACTGACTTGTCCAGGGTCATATAGCTAGTAAGTGATTGAGGCTAGATTTGAATTCAGATCTTCCTGATTGCAGGCCTAGCCCTCTATCCACTAAATAATAGGCTCCTTAAGGACAAGGTCTTGTCTTTGTATCCATACCTACCTGTATCTTACCCAGAAACCTTACACATAAGGCACACGTAATGACTTTGTTGAGTCATACTGAAGGCCCACTTATTGCACTTGAAATGGTAGAAGGGAGAACTAGTGCAGTAGCAAAAGAGGACCAATATCTCCAAAGGTCTCCATTTAGAAAGATGGAAGGAAAACCACTAAGGTAAAACTTAACTGGGATAAAGGTAAAATCACAGGATCATCAAGACCTACGATATCATCTAGCCCAATCCCCTC